TACTGTGTTTTTTGTACATTCTTTGTGTATGTTTTCTCTGTGTGGCAATACTTCCCAAACCTGTTCACTGTTTTTTCTAGAACCAAGAGCTTTTTGCTCATCTCTCAGAGTGTAGCTGCTGCTGGTTCAGAAATAACTGGGATGCTGAGGATAGGCTGGTGCCTGTTTTCCTGAGCACAGGGAGGGTGCCTGGGACTGGTTTTTCAAAGGGGGTGATGTGAAAGGTCAAAATACTGTGTGTGCTGAAAGATTTAGTACACCTGTGCACATGTTCTCCACAGACTCCAGTAGGAAAGGCCCTCAGCTCCATAAGGTATGGATTAAAACATTTACTGGAGATACCAGATGGAAACAAGGAACAGCCCAGATCAGCTGTAGTGTCAGGCAGATGTGGCACCCTGTGCAGACCCTGCCAGGAGTAAGTGGTGCGGTGGGCTTTTACAGTCTTTGTAGAATTTTCCTACAGTTAAAGAGCTGTTCATCATTTCTACTGCCAAGATTGTATAAAACATGCTGTTCCACTTCAGGATAAGGATGAGGACACGGCCGTGGGGTTGGCACATGGAGCTATGGACAGACTCCTTTGCTGAGTCCGTCTGCAACCCAGCCCAGTGTGCCTGCAGCCCAGCGCACATGCTGCCAGCATGTGTCTGAGGGCCAGCAGGTCACCAGCCCCCGATGTTCCAGACTGGGTGGGGACACTGCACCACTGCAGCCTGGTGTGTCACTTTTGTTACCCGTGACCACAGGGGCCTCACTGTAGTTGGAGCTTCCTTCCCCCTCCAGCATCAGCACCCATGGCTGCTGCATTTGCTCCTTGGCTTTATCATCCTGTGCCTGAGGAGGAAGTATTGCTCTTCCTTGTCTTCCATGTGCTGGTAATTCACAGAACTGCCCCAGGTATGACAAGCACCGAGTGAGGAAGTGTGAAGTGCCCCTCTCATGCTTCCTTCAGCACCACTTTTACATTGTTCCAGCCCAGCTCTCCCCACACAGACCATAGTAGCCCTGCCATCAGTTCATACCTCTTGTGTGCTTGCTAATGAAGTGGTCCAGAATACAAGAAAACCTGATTTTCTCTTCTGGACATTCTCAGAATATTTTGCCCTCTCCTAAAACAAGATGGTTGTTCTGAAAAGCAGCATCTTGATATCACAGATGCCAAAGCAGAAGCAAGAGGATGCTGCTACAGTCACCTTGGGTACAGGTGTCTGATCCTTCATCATATAAAGGACAAGACTTGTCCTGCCCCAGTCCCTCAACTAAAAAGGTAAATGTAGATATGTAAATAAATATATACATCTCTTTTTTAGTCACACAGTTTGAGTTACAGCTTCCTGGTTGGTCCAGACCCTGCTAGGGGACACAGCTGGTTGAAGGAGGGCAGAAGCCTAAATTGTCTTGGACTAAGTCATGAGGGAACTGTGCTGGTTTTGGCTGGGGTAGAATTAATTGTCTTCATAGTGGCTGGTGTGGGGCTATGTTTGGATTTGTGCAGGACACAGAGTTAACAATGCAGATATGTTTTTGTTGCTGAGCTTACACAGAGCCAAGGCATTTTCTGCCTTTTTAATGCCATGCTTGGGAGGGGGCTGGGGATATATGAAAGTTTGGGAGGAGACACAACTGGGACAGGTAACCCCAATTGACTGAAGGGATATTCCAGGCCATATGACTTCATGCTCAGTATATAAAACTGGGAAGGAAGAAGGAGGAAGGGTGGGATGTTTGGAGTGATGAAGTTTGTCTTCCCAAGTCACCGTTACGTGTGATGGGGCTCTGGTGTCCTGGAGATGGCTGAACACCTGCCTGCCCATGGGAAGCAGCGGATCAATTCTTTGTTTTTCTTTGCTTGGGTGCATGACTTTTGCTTTCTCTATTAAACTGTCTCTGTATCAGCCCATGAGCTTTGTAGCTTTTACCCTTCCAATTCTCTCCCCAGTCCTGGTGGTGAGGGGGTGAGGGAGTGAGTGAGTGGCTATGTGGGGCTTGGCTGCTGGCTGGGGAAGGAGTTTCATTGATTTGACCTTCATGGGGTCCTTGAACCAAGAACTACATGAATACTGCAGCCCATAGCAGCTTTTCCTGCTTCTTCCCATCCTAGTGGTTGCAGTGGCGCCTCATGGGAAATTTCTGACTGGGAATACAGGACCACAGGGGAGGAGGACATGAAAGCAGGTCTCCAAATTTCCTGAACCTCTGTGGAGTCTTTTCCCCAGCATTATCAAGTAGGATATTTTCAGAAGCATTTAGACCTTAAGCTGGTCAGATGTCCTCTTTAATGATACGTATAACTGCAAATAGACGGTAAGAAATTATTTATATGATTCTCTAGGCAGTGAGTAAGAAATAACCACAAGGTTATAAAGATTTTCTAAGAATTAAAGACATGAAAACTGTATGCAGTAAAATCATCTGTTTCAGGGAAACAAAGAACCTTGAAAGAACCAAATTCAAACTCATACTAGTAACACTGTAATAATTGCATCAATGCTACTGACAAGTAGCCAAAAGCATAAGTAAATCAAACTTCTATATGCATTGTGCTTTTAGGCCCCGCTGTTTTGCAGAATGAACTCTCAATTATTCTGACATAAGAATACCTGCAAATGGAAGCTGTGGTAACAAAAGCAAAGACCTGGAAAGGAGAAAGATAATAACAGAGTTCCCAGGGCTCTATACCCAAATCTTCTGGGTTTAACGTTAAATTACATGACAACTGAGTGAAGCTGCCTACAAGTGACAATGTAGGTGGAGACACCTTTAAGCCCTATTTAAGACAATAAGAATTTTTTTCCCCCCATTGCCACCACTTTGGAGTCAGTACAATCACATTCACAGCCTGGATTGCTCCAGGACCCACTCCGTGCCACTGCAGACCCAAACCATATCCCACTGTCACTACAGGAGAGCTGTGTCCAGACCAGGGACTAGGATTTGGCTGAATTAGTCCAATTACTTGTATTTGAGGACAGGATGTTGAATTTGGGTGTAACAACAGCAAAGGCTCATTTCAGTTCAACTGAATGCAATGAAGCAGAAGAGATTCTTTATTGGAGCAGAAGAAAAATTGAGGGCTGTAGAAGACAACAAAAGACAGTAAAATTCCTCAAAAGAATATTTCAGTAGAAAACAGACACTTCTCCCAGACAGGAGTAATTCAGGCTCAATTACTGAATCATACAGATTAACTACAACCTCTAATTAATATTACCTCATTACAGTTGAGAAGCCACAATTTTACGGTCTCAAAGATTTTCTGCATTGACAAGTTCCTTTTTTTCTCTTTGGGCATCTGCATGTTCACCTGTTTCCCAAGTAGTCAGAGGGCACTGCAGAGGCTGAAGGCAATTAATCAATTAAACCAAGCAGTTAAATTGCTCTGTAAGAAGGGAAGCTCCACCTGTGAGATGGAGTGGGATGGGCAGCCCAAGTCTCTGCAGCTCTTGGGAATTTTTGGAGTTTAGATTTGTATAGTTGAAATCCTCCTCTCTTAAATGTGATACAGTGATATAGAATATTTCAGTTGGACGGGGCCTACAATGATTATCTGTTTCTCACTGGTAATGTAAAGATTTAGGCTGTTTCATGAATTTTAACTTAAAACACAGTGGTGAGTGGCCCAGAGAAGCTGGTGAGAAAGTGAATTGTGAGGACCTTGCAACTCCTTATGAGCTCTCTCTCAGAGCTGCGTGTGTGTAACATGCCTGTTAAAGCTTATTCGCTAGAAAGCAAAGCAAGGAGGAAAAGAGGAAGAAATAGTTGCTTAGGAATAAAAAGAAACGAAAACATTAAAAAACAGAAGGGGAGGTAAAGCGTACTCAGCAGGAAATATGAAATAGAGGAAAAGTAGTTTTTAAACTTTCCTCTTCTGACCCTCCCTTAGGGCTTCCGCTCTCTGCCCACACCTCTGACAGTGAGCACTGAGAAACTTGTTTTCAAAAAAAAGAGGAAGGAAAAAACACCATCCGTTGCCCTGGATGCTTGTGACAGAGTGAACAAGAGCAGGGAAGTGCTCCTGATTTGCTCCAGCTTGGGGAGTGCAGGTCAATCTGTCTGGAGAAGGGAGCAGCTGCAGCCCGGGAAGGATGGGAATGTTGCTACGAGCAGCCGTGCTCCTGAGTTCCCTTCTCCTCTGCAGTGGTGAGTCTGGGCACAGGTCCCCTGCCCAGGGCAGCCTCTGCCCTGCACTGGGGTGTCTGCTTATGCTTGGCAGGGATGGCTCTGTTTTGGGAAGACAAATATGGCAAAAAGGCTAAGTCTTTGCATGCTGCTGGCTCAAGGTTCAGGTGTTTCACATCCAGTGGCAGCAGAGTGCAACAGTGCGTGAGGCCATGGAAATGCAACCAGTGGACTGAAAGTGCAGAGATCCCACACACGTTGTGGTGGTTATTTTATGCAACACGAAGGGTCTAACTAGCACTTGTGTTCTCAGGAAAGGGGAGGTTTGGAAACCAGCAGAAAAGGGTAAAGAAGTGTTTATGGATGCTTAGATTCAGCCCTCAGAGTGACAGGAACGTACTGGGACAAAGGCAGTGGTCTTCATTTTTACAGGAAAATTTAAAGAGTCTTAGACTTCTTTCCCCCATGGTTTAAGTTGCTCATGTTCAGTTTAGGCTGAGAGAGCACTGTCTTCCAGAAAAACAAATGGGTAGTAGAGGAGAGTTCATAAATGCAGGGCTTTGTTATTCCTTGGAAGCCCAAAGGGTGATATCTGGAGCAGACACTGGCTGAGACCAGGGAGCTGCAACTTGAGCTTGAGACAGACTCCTTCCCTCAAGCCTAATCCTCTGGTGCTGTGCTCTGCCCAGTGTCAGTGGTGGCAGGTAAGCACCAGAGAGAGCAAGAGAGCCAAGCTGCACATGCGGCAGGAGTTAGTGCCCCTGGCCATCAGTTGCCACCCGTCCTTCTGCCTCATACCACGCTCTTGGTTAACCCACCCCTGAGCAGACCATCCCTCATCATACACACTGACCCCTTGTGTTTCTCATCAAGTGGATTCTCCTTGCCAATGCTCTCGGCAGCCACGGCTTTACCACTTGGGAGCTGTCTTCACCCTGCCTTCTTTGTGGTTTATTTTTTTTCCTACTTTCTTTCTGCAGCTTTTTTGGACCTGAGTGGCCCCAGAGAGATCAAAGCTGTATGGAAGGGATCTGTCACTCTGCCATGTGCCTACGTGCCTGTGGAAGACCTTGTGCAGCAAACCCTCACCTGGTCTGTGGTACATGACCAGAGTTCAGGCACCATCTTTCGGAGGGATGGCTCTGAGGACCATGTGCTCCTGTCTGAGTACAGGGCCAGGGTCAGTGTCCCAAAGGACACCCCAGGGAATGTGTCTCTCGTCATCCTGAACCTGGAGGTCACTGACAGGGGAACCTACACTTGCCAGGTCACCTGGAGAGCCAGCAATAACAGCCTGATAGCAAAGGAGATCACGACAAAAGTGGAGGTTGTTAAAGGTAAAGGGTAAACCCAAGAAGGAGGCTATGTGGGAGGGGAAGGCTTTTGGGAATTGGGTAGAGCAGGCAGGCAGAGTGACCACATGCCTCCATGCAAAAGCTTTTTGCTGGGCAGTGTCAGGCTCCAGCAAGAAGCAGTAAATAGGTCAGGGAGTGAAATTCTGCCCAAGACAAAGCAGCCTGCAATTTGGGGAGGATCTGTGGCTCCTCACTTATCAGTTTGTCCCTGGGTCTACCTGTATCCAATGGTTCAGTCTTTTTCAGGAGCATGCACTGGCCAGGAAGTCCCTGGGATACTGTATGCCTGTTCTTTGATTAAATTTCACCAGTACATGCCTGACCTCCCTCTGTCCAGGCAGAGGTGGTTTATAGAGGCACAAAGACAGCATCAGCCCAGCAGAACAGGACCCTGTGTGTAGTGCCACGGGTGGCACAGCTTATGCAGGCATAGCTGAGCTCAGCCTATGCAGGGAGGTGATGCGAGAATCACTTCATCCTGAGAAGGCACTGACGGCCAGAGCAAGAACTGCCGTGGTGGAGGGACCATCCCCACCACAGCCAGGGCAGCGTGACCTGGGCCTCTCTGCTTTGTCTTCCAGTGGCAGCCACCAAGCCCATCATCAGGGCTGGCGAGTTGGGGCTGACAGTCCCGGCCGGAGCCAGCACCAGCCTGACATGCGAGGCCAGCGGGTCCCCCCCCATCAGCTACCGCTGGTTCCGCAGCATCCCGGGCGGCAAAGTCCCACTCCAGAGCAGCGGGGCCGAGCTGGTGTGGGACAACCTGCAGCCCTCTGACAGCGGGATGTATTTCTGTGAGGCAGCAAACAGGGCTGGGGCCGGAGTGGCCCAACAGAGCGATGCTGTGGAGCTGACAGTGACAGGTGAGTGCCCAGAGCCACAGCACGGAAGAGAACTTCTGGGGCCCTTAAGCAGTGGAAAGGAACAGCGTCCTACTTCCCTGCCCTGAAAGAAGGAAATGTCAAGCACCTTTACTACTCCTTGTTGCTGGCTCCAGCTTGTGTCCTTCTTTATTTCCTGTATTTGATTTCCTCCTCCTCTTTGAGGAACTGCTCTTTCCTGATGCAAAAGAGGTTTTGTATTTCAAGCACTTCTTGATTCCTCTGTGGGTTTTTTGAAGTTCTCACTGGCTCTGTAATGCTGCCCACTGCAGTTCAGCAAATTTAGACAAGGAGTCAGGAAGAACAAGTGAGTGGTAATTCAGTGGGGGAACAAACTAAATTGGCTTTTGATAGACAAGCAGACGTGCTGCACTTCACACCTGCCGTGCTCTGACGTGTCCAGGCTCCACATAACAGCGCATGATAGGGTGGACTCAGTGACCCCAGGGGTCTTTTTCAACCTAAACAATTCCACGATGGATGCGTGATGGAAAACTTACAGCTCTCCTTGGCTGGTAAGTCGACCAGCAGAGCTGTGAAACCCATGATGGCACAGCCAAGCACAAGTACCACACACTGGCCTGTGAAAGAGGCAAAGCCTGCTGAGCTCCCAGGTGACGAAGCTTTGGCTGAAACACCGCAGTGGTTTTCACAGCAGTTGCACATTGGAGCAAACAGCATGGGAACAGGGATGAATGCTGGCCACACCAGCTGACACTGCTGGCACAGCATCCCCCTCCTGTCCCACTGGATGGGGCTGGTTCCTCCTGCTCCTGTCCCACCTGTGGAGAGATCTGTGCCACACCAGCTTCACCATCATGGTCAAACCCCTGTGTAAGCCTCTCCTTCCCCCTCCCCTTGCAGATCTACCCACAACAACAGCGGCCTTGTGGAAGGATGTGGGAACCCCAGGGAGACACCACCTAATCACAGGTCAGGGTGAGAGCGGTGACAGCCGATGGCAAGGAATGGGTGTTGGGGCGGGGTGTGGCACCAACAGTTGGCATTGGGTTTTATTGCTGGCAAACAATCTTGACAATACCGGTCTTTAGACCAAATGCCTCAGTTTTTAATCCTGATGTTTCTGAAGGTCGAACATCTTCCTTCTTTCAGTCTCCAGTCTGAAGAGGTCTGCTTGCTTGCTTGCTTGCAGGGTGGTTGGGTCTCTGTAGGAGAGACTGCCTGTCTTAGTGCTGCTGGAAATGCCATTTCCTAACTTGCACAGTATACGGATATTTTGGGTGCAGTTCTTTTCTAAAGGGCTTTTTTTACTTGTTTCTTGAACGGAAGCACTGAGGGTAGGCAGAGCTGGTGTCTCCAGTGGCAGACACAAGGGATGCAAAAGCTGCTTCAGACCTGACTGATAGCATTTACCTAACCAAGCACAGCAGTTCTGAGGAGGGCTTGTGATTTCCAGTTTGTTTTTGTGCGATGTGGGAATTCAGACCTGGGCTGGAGTAGGTCTACTTGTGGACTCTTTCTATGCTTGGGTTATGTTTCATTTGGACTTACGATGTTCAAGCAATCACATGGGAGCTGTAGAACCGGCGTTGGTCACTGAGGGAAGATGCTGACAGGTGTTGACTGTTTTTGCAGAAAAAACCCAAACAGAGCTGGTGTTCAGAGGTACCTCAGGAATCTCCTGGACTCCATGGGACTCCACCACTACCACAGGTGTGTGTGTACAGGCATACAAATACAGATACACACCTAGTGTGTGTATGTATGTAGTTTGTGTATACGTAGTATATATAGTATATATACACTGTATATAGTATCTCTTCAGCGTATACTAAATTTACTCTCTCTATAATATAGTATATCCATAGTACTCATTTCTGCAGTTTGCCTATTTTCACTGCCTTGTGAAGGGGATGGAGGCATCCTCTTCTGATCCCACAGCTCTAATCCCAGAACTCCTGGTGCTAAAATGAGGGTTGGAAATGCACTGTTAGCCTTTAACTCCCACTTGTTTTGCAGATCTGCCCATAACAGTGACTGCAGTGACTTCTGAGAGTGGTGTGAGATATCCAGAGAAGAATTACACAACGCAGGGTAAGCGAGAGTAAAACCAAGCTGAGAAGAAGATTAGGGACCCAAAACAGATGCTCTGCAGTCAGCAGCTTCAGCATCAAAATTTGTGTTCTGCCTTTTGCCTGGCTGCAAATTGTATTAACAGCTGTTCTCAAGGGATCTAGATGATTCATGTTGACTCTTTGAAAGACTTTGAATGGTTTTTATGGAGAAATTAAAAGAAAAAAATGCTCATAGGTAGGGAACACAAAGTTGTTCCTGTGTTCCTGAGCAGCTGGTCTGTTTTTATCTTTGAGTGTCAAAGCTGGAATAGCAGAAAAGCCTCAGTGTGCACCTCAAGCAGATCTCCTGCACTTTGGCCAGCTTTTCAGCATTGTGACAGGTTTAAACACTTCCCAGATACAAATGAGCAGCACCCTTGAAAGGAAAGCTGAGACCCTTTATTTCACAATGTGCAGTGCAATCGTTCTGCCCTGCTTGCACCACTGGTCGCCTCAGCGTTAGGAGATGGACACTGTGTGTACAGCCATTGTCCCTTGGCGAGGTGTACACAGTGCTGGGTTACATCCAGCACCCGCCCAGAGCCACCAGAGGCAGGGGCCGTGGGGACACAGCCCTGTGTGCCCAGGCAGGGCTGCCTGCTGCTGTCCTCGGGGACGTGCTCAGTGCCATGTAGCTGCTGCTGCTGTCACTCAGAAGGGCTCCTCTGCCTGAAAGTCCTCTGTTGTGTTGCTTTAGATTTCCAGAGGACCGGTCTGTCCCTGCACCTGGTCATCCTGATTGCTGTGGTGTGCGGTGCTGTGGTTTTCCTTGTCATCTTTCTTATCACTTGCATTAGAAAGCCCAAAGATGGTGAGTAGAATGTTCTGGAAAACCTGAATGTTTTGTGGATGTCCAGCATGGTTTTACCTTTGAGGGTTTTTGGGGGGCTAGGGCTGTGCTCACAGCCACCAGCTGCAACTGTGGCATCTGCATTGTACAGACAGTGGATGACAACATGAATGGATTGACATAGGTGGTGGAAGATCCAAAGAGGCAGAGAAGTCCCCACATTCAGGAGGGTCTGCCAGGCACTGGCCACAGGGGTCAGGGCAGCAGTTGCCCTGGTGCTCCTGAGTGGCTTCCCCCATCCCTAACTGGCTCTGGGGCAGCTCGGTCCCTGCCCCAGGGCTCAACCCGCAGTGTGCGGCTGTTTTGCCACAGTGACTTGGGATGACTGTTTCTCGCTGTTCCTCACAGACATCCCACAGCTCAGACTTGCCTGCTCAGCCAAGCTCATCATTCCAAACCTTTAAAATCTCTGGCAATGGGTTCATCCCATCCTACTGCTTGGAAATGCCTTTGGCACCAGCTGCTCATCAATAGTTTCCTTAGTTGGTATCCACAGGAAAGAGGTCACTGTTCATTCTCTCTATTCCAGATTAATTTGTTTCCTCTCTGGCCCTCACACACAGGATGCATTCACTGAATGGCTGTCTCTCCTGCACTGACACCAGAAATGCCCCCAACCAAATGTTCTTGGAGCCCCCTCCTCAGGAGCTGTGTTCAGATGTGTGCAGAGAGCACACGAGGGCTTTGTGGTTTTAGATCCCACAGACTTAATTTTCTCCTTGTCCCTTTGTTTCTTTAATGGCTTCTATTACTCCATTCTACCAATTAATACTTGTCAAATATTCATTTTGCTTTTTTCTTATTTTTATCTTTTTTTTTTTTTTTTTTTTTTAAGGAATCAGAATAAAACTCTTTCAAAACTGTCCTTTATTGAACTTCTAGTGAACAGGGAAACTGGGGGTAACTGGGAACTTCTAGTTTCTAAACTCAACTTCACCTTTAACCTTGGGCCAGTTACTTTGACCCAGTTGTGTGACAGCTGGGATATGGGTTGTTTTCATTTTCTTGGACTGATTCCTGAGAATTAGAGTCATCATCCACTTGACATGATCTCCAAAGTTGTTATTTTTATTCTGCCTTAGGAGGTCATTTTCTTACATCAAGAAGATAAATGTAGAAATTCTTTTTAAAGAATGTGAATGCAAATTATTGACACAAATTCGATTATTCTTTTCCAGCTCAAGCCTATGACGTAAAATTGTGAGTATAACTCTTTATCTGACACATTAATGAGTCCTGGGGGCTGTATCAAAGCAGAAACAAAAAGCACTGCTATTAGCTGTCAGAATGAAAAGCCCCTTAAGCAGCTAGGGTGAAGAGGTTCCATCCCACATAGGATGACCTGCAGGCTTTCCACAGCAACACAGAATGTGGGAAGAAAGATCTTTTTCTTAGCAATATCAGAATTGTAAAAGTGAGCAAGAGCTATTTATTAACTCCTCAGCCCAACGAGGACTACTGAAGATGATTGCCAAGGATAAATTCCCAGTGTTTTTTCAAATGCAAAGAACAGGAGCTAGAGAGCAGAGGCTCCTAGTGCAATACTTATGCCCTGATTTATCCCCAAAGTATCCTTGGCTGAACTTGCTTCTTCTTAACCATATCTGTGGCAGGAAGCTATGGCTATTTCTAAATTCAGGTTTCACATCCTGATCTACTTGTACCTTTGAGAGCTATACTGAAAAACCTGATAATCCAGTCAAAACACACAAGGCGAACCACTTGCCTAGATACAAATTAAAGTGCTGATGACTTGAGTGCCACAGTGGGATGTGCCAGCAGCATCTGCCCTGGTGCTGGGCTTCCTCAGCAGTGTTTAAGGTAGCACTTAAGTAACAGCTGAACCCTGAGCAACTGAACAAATGCTGTGATGGTATTTCTCCTCAGAGGATTTATCTTCATTTCAAAAATATTAGATATCATAAGCCACACAGTGGATGTGGGCTGCTTTCAGTTCTCAATTTACTATTCCTCCAAAACTTTTTATAATTATATATATATATACACGTATATTTTTCTTGCAAAGAGCAGTTGTCTGGTTATGGCATTCCATGAAATAGTGGTAACCCTTGCGTTGTTTACACACCTTTTGCTGCCTCCTTCTGGAAACTCTCTCTGGATTGGAAGCAGTGCTGCTACAATGATCAAAGTTCTCCTGCCACATGAAAGCAAAGGACAAAATTCTGTCCTTCAGAATACTGCCATAATCCAATGGCTCAGGTTTACCTGGGTTTGAGTCAGTCTTGCTCAAAATCCTGATGGCTGGGAGATGCTTTGTCTACTCTGATTGCTATTCTTCTTTCATACTGCATTTTGATTTCAGCCATAACTCAAGAGCAGCAGCTTCTTCAAGGCATGAAAACACAGGGCACTATGAGGAACCCATCTCCTTCACTGAAAACAACTATGTGATGGAGCCCATGGAAAACAAAAGTGTTGAAGAAGTAAATAAGAATGCATCTGACTGTGTTGAAAACCCCCAGGAATATGAGTATGAAGTAGGGGACACTTCCTAAGAACCAGCAGTGCTCTGCAGGTACCAGTCCCGAAGAGCACCTTCACTCAGGCAAAATTTATCTTTCTTTTACCTTTGCCTCTGAAAAATAGGTTGGACAAGCAGTGGTTGCTCTTCCTTCACAATCCCTGCAGTGAAAATGCACACCTCTTCAGGATCTTCAGTTACAGACTGCTGTAGAGAACTTCTGATTTTGCTTTCCTTGGTTCCCTTTCATCACATCTGTCCGAGGACCTGGAATGCAAGTCCGAGGCTGGGAGCACTGTGCTAAACTTACTGCTTTATATGGCCCAAAGGACCAGCATTCCTAGTCTTCATGTGGTGGTGGCAGAACCAGCACCAAGGACTGCTCAGCATCCCCATCCCTGTGGGTGAGCAGGGCAGGATGCAGCTGGCCTGGGAATTGATGGTTCTCCTCCTGCCCACCGGATGCTGCACAGGTGGTAGAATGTCCTTTTCATGTGAGAGAGCCCTTAGAGAAACACTGAAATGCAGATTAAAGCTAGGAGAAAACCAAGAACCTGCCGCACCAGGAGCAGCAGTGCAAGAAGTAGGAACGCACCTGCTCAGCTCCTGTGCTGCCCTCGATCTCCCTCCACAGCACAGAGGTACAAACACACTGGCCATAGCTCTGGGCAGTTCTGATACTGCAACCAACACATTCTTCCTGAGCTCACCTTCTCTGGTCTCTCCTTAAATGCATGTTTGTTATTTGAAAGAAATTAGATACTTCTCCGTAAATTTGGGATCGGATTGTTTACACATGCCTCACATATTTTGTTGTGTGTAATTCTGCACAACCAGCTCATCTTTAAACCCCAGCAAGCACTCACAGCTCCTCAGTAGATACTCAGGAAGCACTTTTCTTCCACCTTAAAGAGCCTGAAGGGTAAGCTATGAATAATTTTTATTGCCCTGAGTAAATCTATAATGTGGGTACTGCAATTCTGGAAGAACCTTTTTATAATGAACAGGGCAATCTCAAATTCTATTAAAAGTCATGTGGACATGTGTAAAACAGAAGGAGTGATGTAAGGGGAACACTGGTGGCAGAGGCACAGGATGAGTGGGGTCCCACATGTGCTGCTCACACTTGGGACCTGCACCTGCAGGTCTCTGTAAGCATCGTTTGAAAACTGGAAAGGCATTCCAGTCAAAAACCAGGCTTGCAATACTGTAAAAACCACCATGGAATGCTGCCACCTTATGTATGCATATTGGTTTCATCTTGGAGTGGCTTATCAGAGCAAGAAACGTTACTGAAAAAGATTATAAAGGATAATTATTGGCACAAAACCACAGCTGCACAAATGCAGTCTCTTGGTCAGCTTGGAAAAAAGAGAAAAAGGAACAAATGAGCCAAGTGTGCTCATGGTGACCAGTGCTGAGAAGGTGAGGAGATGTTTGGTTACGGCTTCTCTGAAAAGGATGCAGAAATTAGTGCAAACTGTCTGGTAGCACTTTTAAAAGGTAAGGAAAAGTGCTTCTTGTATGCAACACAGAAATAAGTGTGGAACACGGTGCTGCTTGCTCCAGGCTGAGAGAGCCAGTGGTCCAATGGAAAATTAGACAAATGAATGATATAAAAGTTCACAAAAATGCACTCACTGCCACAAACACATTCCAGGCACTTATCAGTGGCCTTATACTTTCTCCCTACATTTCTTGCACCACAAGTTTTATTTCTCTTTGTTAAGAATGTACTTAAAAATCAAGTGCTAGAAAACCCCGATTTCCAAACAGAGAAAGAGGAACACACAGCAGGTGCTGTTGGTGTCATGGAGAAAACTGCCAACGTGTTATCTGCAGCTTACTGCAGATGTAGAGAAGCAAATGCAAATCAATAAATTTCAGGATTGCAAAGTTTGTAGATTTTGTTAAACTTCTCTTTGTTTTGCCTATAAAGGTGGTGGGAAAGGGGTCAAGGGGTGTGTGAGCATCTGTGTATGTCCAGGAATGATGCTCCCAGGAGTGTGAGGTCCCTCTACAGAGGAATTCCAAAGAATCTGCTGGAGTTTGGGCTATGTTCTCCATGTTGTATCATCTGCGGTTTGTAGCCTGTAGTCAGCTGCAGTTCAAGGAACGGGAGAGCTGCTGATAAGTCCAGTCTACGGTTCTGAGCTAATGAAATGGAATGTTTGGAGTGTGAAAGCAAATGAGTTCTGTTACGGAGGATGTAAAAAGCCTACGGAGACTGGCAGTCTCTTTCTCAGCAGGAAGGTGAGGAGAAGAAAATTGTTGCAATAGTATTGCAAGGTACAGAATTTTCAGTGAAAGGGTTTTCCAGAAAACAGCAAAAAAATCACACCTGGGCCAGCATTAATGTAATGGTAAATCAACAGTGTTGAAAGTCTTTGGTAAATTGTCTGGTTTTCCTTTAACTGGAGGTGAAGCTGTAGGCTTTGGACCCCTGCAGTAATGTTCTCTTTCTTTTAAAAAAGGTTTCTAAAATAGGTGTGAGTGTGTTTGTGCATGTGTTTGGTCAGAGGAGGTGGGAAGGGTGTGTGGCTGGTGCTAGAGCACAGCACACCCATCTGAGTTCAACCTCACTGCTGTGGCCACCTGAAATGACCTGCAATATTCTTTGTCTGAGGTGTCATGACGTGGCCAGAGCTCCAACCTGAGGAGAAGGGAGCACTGAGGTAAGGTACAGGTGCGGAGACAAAGAGCTCCCCCCAAGGGACAGGGTGGTCACACTGTGATTTTCACACAGGGGGCACTCTCACCACTGACACTCCATAGGTGATGACTGTCAGGAGTCCCACAGCTTGCCACAAAATCACTCCATTCCAGCTGCACTGCAAAGCCATGGGCAGTGCAACCCTACCAATGTGGATAAACAGCAGTGTTATCCTGGCTGGAGAGCCAGCACCAGGGGCTGATGATGTTAAATACAACTGTTGTAGGGCAAGCTCATGAAACTGAAAAGAAATCCATGAAACATGATCTCTACATGTTTTGTGTCTGCACGCACTGTGGGACAGCTGGACAAGGTTCAGATCCTGATTTGGCATGGGGTGTCCCTGGGCAGCACCTCAACAGCCAGAGGACGAGCTGAGGTCACACCAGATCGTCCCAGACTAGCACTTGTGTTTACCAAACCTAGAGCTCAACCTGCCTCCACGGAGCCCCAGCAGGAGGAGCTGGACAGCCTGCAAGGAGCCAGCATCACTATAGTGATGAGACTATAGAGAGCACCAGCAGCTGGTGCATGTGGCAACTGCAGGTACAGGCACATCTGTATTGCTCTGACAGCTGAGTGCATGCAGCCCACCTGCGGCACAAGGTAGGAAATCAGTACTCAAAGGACATCATATATATGGGTCCCTTTCTGGTGTCAGGAGGTGTTTACAAAGATTTGGCCAAGCTAATGGGTAACCCAGAACTGATGTCATTGACCTGGCAATTTCTAGGAAGGGAAGGGAATTTTTTCAGAGGGAGTATGGTCTAGTGGTTTAAGGGCGCGGCGCTGTCACCGCCGAGGCCCGGGTTCGATTCCCGGTCAGGGACACTCCCTGGGCTGATGGAGCTCATTAACCCTGTAAAAAGACAATCCATCTACGTCCTGAGGACCTCACTGCCACCGTCCAAGCTCGCTTGGCCCCGGCAGATGAACCTTAGGATTAAAGGGTGGGCTCAGTTCCGCGCACACTGTGTCTCACCTAAAAAATCCAATGCGCAGGCTGGAAGGTGTAAAGACCTTCCCCGGATCTTCGCTCGCGAAGACTGGCCATTATTCGTACATCATGTTTCTGTCATGCAGGCCTCGAGGGGAAATGCTCATTTACACTAATTTCTGTTCCTTTAGGTGGAACAAGGGTATGTTTTCATGACTGAATGTCCAATTGCCTGGTGTGTATGAGAGCTGTGGTGTGTATGGCTGGGGGTGCTCACACAATCAGCCTCTGTAGGACGTCTAAAAAGTACTTAGCAAACCACAGTCTGTTGTGTCAGATCTGTGATTTGGCTATGGCTGGACCAAACAAGAATGCCTCAGGTAAAAATTTCTTCTTTTTTTGAGTACATATGGTTGAAAAAGAGCACTTTCAGATCTTTCTCTATCAGTTACCTACTTTTGGTGATTTGCTCAAAGCCAGGTACTGAATTTCATCCCCTTACATGCTAAGAATCTTATTTCATCACTGGAAAAATGGTAGCAAACTCCTCTAGCTTCTGGCAGACTTTGTCAGAACCTGAGAGTAAGATGCAGGCTCACCAGAGCTGGTCCCTACAAGCAGAGTCTGAGAGCCCATCTGTGCTCAAGTTTGGAGACACAAGGACCTTACTGTGTCACCTCTAATTAGTCTGAGACAAAGTAGCAAAAATTACAAACAAAGAGTGCCTGAACTGTGATACTTGAAGAAATGATGCTTGGAAGAGTGTTCTGTCCTCCTGTGTGTTGGGAGTAAGGTGGATGCCTGGGGGACAGGGTGCCTTATCCGTGGCACTGTGTGCGAGAGAGCAGCAGGTTCAACCCAGAACAGACACACTGAAAGAAAATACTGCATTTTAATAAACCAGGTAGCTGGCCATAATGTCTGAGACATTGAAGGCTTTTTCTTCATATGTTCAGATTCAAAATTATAAGGAGTCCCTCCTGTAAGGAAGAAATGGGCTGACTGTGTGACTCAGGGGGAAGACAAGCAGCTACATCTCTGTCCAGGGAGAGAAAGATGTCATGTTCATCACATTTGAGGAACTGCAATACTTCATTTCTAGTATAGTTAAGTAGTCTTTTTTTTTTTTTTATCCTGCATAATTACAGCCTCAGGAAGTCTTGCATGTCTGGTTCAGAAATTAGTCCTATCAGCAGTTTTAGCTTGGGTTTTCAACTTGTTCCAGGGCATGTTCCCCAAAATCCAGTTTCTTTTAAAGTCTTTTGTGTAGAAGACTGTTTCTCTGTCCCAACCAGCACGTGGAAAAGGTTCATTTTAAATCATCTCTATGAAAATGGATTCATATTCTCTCTTTGACTGATATAGCTTTAATTTTAACAAGTACTTTTTTGTCTGCTTGTTTGCTTTTAGGCAGGACTCAAACATCACTAAAGGCTCCTCAGGACCAGCATGGGCAGACAGATAGAAGCCACACTAGTTGCAGCAAAGGTGTCAGGAAAAGTCAGCAAAAATCAAGTTTCAATGTCTTACATAGACTTGCTCTACAAGAATAGGTGCTGCTGCCTCTGTTGTCTTCCTTGGCTGGATGGTAGCAGGTGGTGATTCTCAGCCTGGAGCTTTGGATGAATTTATTGCACCAGGTCTTGCCACACCACATTCAGCTTTTTGCTCCAAGTGGCCTCTGCTCACCCCAGGCAAGTTCCACTGCAGCAATCAGCAGGGCTCAGCCCCAGTCACTGGGCAAGTGCCCCCTGGGTGGGTATGCCTCCACCTGGGACTGAAATGAGATCCGTACAGTTCTCATCAGCTTACTGAGTTTGGGAAAATGAAGATAACCTCCAGCTCTCATTGCCCTAACAGAGAGGGAACAAGCCATCACTGACATACAGCAGCACTTCCAGAGATGGGGCTGAGCTCAGATGCAAGGTAAATGCTTCAGCCCAAGCAAACAGGTATCTGTTGTGATGGGACAAGGATGTGGCAAAACTACCCCGTTTACCTTTCCTTCCCAGCTCTGGCAGAAAATGTCTCTCTGTCCTTTAGACACATTTACCTCCTGCTCAAAGACACTGTTCTCCTGGTGCAGTTGTCAGAACCTCATGGTAAGTCATGGCTATTGAATAAAATTCCAGAAGTTGCTCTAATGACTGATTAAACACCTATAACAGAATTCACTAGGTCAGTAGATTTGCTTTTATACATGATTCTTATCAACTGTAAGTCCTTCTCCTTTTGGTAGTAATTAGCAAGCCGAGATTAATCCTGTGCATCACACCTATTGGCAAATCCTGGAGTACTTTTAAACATACTCTACAGAGCACACACAGAATGGCCCCTGGATTAAAGTCCCTTGGCCGTCAGTCAAAAGTCACCCCCTCGGCAAACATGACGTGAGCTTGCAGAGCATGAAACATGATGAGTTTTGCCCATGAACTGGACTATTGCAGTAGGTATGTGTGCTTAGGTAGTCTGTGATGTTCAACATGACCCGGCAATGGGCACTTGCAGCCCAGAAAGCCAACTGTGACCTGGGCTACCTCAAGAGAAGTGGATGGGGACAGGGAATGGGACTGGAGAGATCCATACAGCTTTTCTCCTTCATTTTTCCATCACCTAACTCAGCAGTGAAATGGACTCGTGATGTTTCAGAAAGAGGATCCTAGACGATAAAGGACAGAAGAAAGGGAAGTGCTCTTCACTTGCAGTCTGGTCCCGGGAGGGTGGGGGTCTCAGGGAAACGAAGACAGACCTGCAGTTCTGAGAGAATGGGAGAAGTTGGGCGAATAGTGGTGTTTGTGATGACTTTCATCAGCTGCAATGGTGAGTAAATATTTCTATGGATAAGAACAAAAATCAGAGTATTAAGAGAGTAGGGAAAGTTTTTGAATTATATTGTCTTAATTTTTTTAAACTGGCAAGTGTGGAAAGTCTTTAGTTTATTGCATTACCAATAGCACCTGAGAATTCACAAGGATTTCCTTTGGTATTGGATACAGCGAGGTGCTTTTAAAAGTGGAGCAAACAGACCAGTATTGGGCAAGTCAGCTTCCCTGCCCCAAGTCAAGACCAGAACACAATTGTTTGGGACTCTTGGAGAGGACCCTCTCTGGTGTGCTTGCTTTCAAAACAGCCCTGGTGAAGCTGGAATATGCATTCTACTAAAATTTAATAACGCATTCCCATCATTATGCTTGCATGGCCCTGGGAAGAAGAAGAGCTGTAATTGTGAGACCAGATGCAGGCACATGAGATTCCCCTTTGTCTCTCCTATCTGCTGACTCCCTGGTTGCACCAGGAGAGCTTAGAAAGCAGCCTTGGCTTCAGTTCCTAAGCTTATGACTAAATATAACCTCTCTCAGGGCATGTATGACACCGGCAGCAGCAGAGGAAGGCTTTGGGAAACAGGAGAAAGGTGCTTTAACAAGTTGTATACAGAAGCACAGGATTGCTCCTGACATTTAGAAAAATGAGTTGAAGTACACTCCCCATTTCATCATAAAAAAACAGTTTTGTAGATTTCTGGGGTCTGCCTCACAAGTGACTGCTTGTGTGAACATAACCAGTGCCTTTTTGGGGAGGTGAAAGGTGAGAGGGATGAGGGGTGCGGGGAGAAGTGAGCCAAGTCCAATGAAATTCACTTGATTTGCTACTTATAAGAGGCACTTCCCAGAGGAGCTGTGGGATCCATGGGCAGATAGCTGAAAAGATTGCAAGAATGAGCAGAGAAAATCTGCCCCCTCTTCTCCTGTACCTACTTGAGTACTTGGCAGGGTGCTGATCCAGTCAGGAAGTTTTCCAAGGCTAAAGCAAAAGGATTAGCTTCAGTCCACCATTCCCATTCCAGGCCCAGTACTGCAGGGAATATCCCTAATTCCCATTCCAGGCCCAGTACTGCAGCAAATATCCCTAAATGCTCCTGCCTGCAAGGAGCCCCTCTGTACCAAGAAGGAATTGAGAACTGATAAGTGTCCAGAGAGAGACACAATAAAAACAGCCATGAGGTCAAGGCAGCCGTTCACTTCTCCGTGTTTGGCGCTGTGGGCTAGCTTAGTGGCTGTTGTGTCCAGCACATCTGAGACACAGCTGCAGACTGGCTTGCACCACCGGTGAGTCCCATCTGTCCTGAGGATGTTCCCCTCTTCTGCTGCATTCTGATTTCTTCCCTTCCACTGTTTTTCCCTTCAGCCCTTCTGGATCTGTCTGGTGTCCACCAGGTCAAGGGCACATGGATGGGATCCACCACTTTACCATGTACCTACATGCCTTCAGAAGGTTTCACAGAGCAAGCACTCAGTTGGAGTGTGGAGCGGGACTCTAGCACCTCTACCATCTTTCGGAGGGATGATTCTGGTGACCACATCTTCCTGTCTAACTTCCGAGATCGAGTCAGCATCCCAAAGCACAGCCCAGGGAATGTCTCACTCATAATTGAGAAGCTTGAAATGCCTGACAGTGGACACTACACTTGTAAAGTCATCTGGAGGTCTACAAATAACACCTTGATAACAAGGGAGGTTACCACTATAGTTAAAATTGTCAAAGGTAAATCCCACAACAAACCCCTGCTCTTGTGGAGTCAGTTATTCCTGATAGGAGAAGCAGTGTTGGTGGGAATAATCTTTCACACCAAACTGTCTTCCCCATCCAGGCTGGGGGTTGAGGCATCTGCCTTCTTTGATGTGTTAGTTAGCACTTCTCCACTCATGGAGCTGTAGAAATGGACTGGGTAAGGGGGTCAGTTCGTGTACAGCCCAATCTGGATCAACCGATGAGCCACTTGAACCCATGGTGCCTGAAATAACACCCAAGTCTGATTTGGGTTCCCTGCAGATAGCCAGCCACTGTCTTTCTGGTTCTTGTAGCAAGTGGGTGATGTATGAGCCAAGTTCGCTTTCTCCCCTTCCCAAGTGTCCTTGGTGTGTGCTAGAAATAACTGTCTTTCTGCAAGGGGATAGCCCCCCAACAGAGCAGGACTTTGTGATAGGGCTGCAGCAACAGCGGCACAGCTAGTGTAACCTGTTTTAAGAAACAGATGACCTGAGCTCAGCCTATGCAGGGAGGTGATGCGAGAATCACTTCATCCTGAGAAGGCACTGACGGCCAGAGCAAGAACTGCCGTGGTGGAGGGACCATCCCCACCACAGCCAGGGCAGCGTGACCTGGGCCTCTCTGCTTTGTCTTCCAGTGGCAGCCACCAAGCCCATCATCAGGGCTGGCGAGTTGGGGCTGACAGTCCCGGCCGGAGCCAGCACCAGCCTGACATGCGAGGCCAGCGGGTCCCCCCCCATCAGCTACCGCTGGTTCCGCAGCATCCCGGGCGGCAAAGTCCCACTCCAGAGCAGCGGGGCCGAGCTGGTGTGGGACAACCTGCAGCCCTCTGACAGCGGGATGTATTTCTGTGAGGCAGCAAACAGGGCTGGGGCCGGAGTGGCCCAACAGAGCGATGCTGTGGAGCTGACAGTGACAGGTGAGTGCCCAGAGCCACAGCACGGAAGAGAACTTCTGGGGCCCTTAAGCAGTGGAAAGGAACAGCGTCCTACTTCCCTGCCCTGAAAGAAGGAAATGTCAAGCACCTTTACTACTCCTTGTTGCTGGCTCCAGCTTGTGTCCTTCTTTATTTCCTGTATTTGATTTCCTCCTCCTCTTTGAGGAACTGCTCTTTCCTGATGCAAAAGAGGTTTTGTATTTCAAGCACTTCTTGATTCCTCTGTGGGTTTTTTGAAGTTCTCACTGGCTCTGTAATGCTGCCCACTGCAGTTCAGCAAATTTAGACAAGGAGTCAGGAGGAACAAGTGAGTGGGGGAACAATTCAGTGGGGGAACAAACTCCTCTCAGGCCAGCCAGGAAGTCACCACAGGAGAGAGGGAGCAAAAGATTCCTGTGAAAATCTGGATGAGTGCCAGCAGGACAAAGCCAAAGGGCTCCCAGGCTGTGCTGTAGCCAGGCATGATGCACCATGTCAGCCAGTACTGCCAGGAAACCCTGGACCAAGGGTTAGGGAGCAGGGACCCAAGTGCCACAGGCTGCTCCAGGCTGGTTGGCAGAACACACGAAGGATGACGGGTGAGTCTAGTGCTGGTAGAGCAGACCCTGATCTCCCAATATCCAGGTAAGCTCCTGACGGGGTTGTGATGCATCCACCATTCTCCATTAGCAGATCTGCTCCCGACAACACTGGTCTCCAGGATGGATACTGCTCCGGAAGGGCCTGTCCCAGACACAGGTGAGTGGAGTCTCATGCCAGAAAACAGATTTGCAAAGGCAAGTGTGGGCTGACAAACACCATCCCAGACCAGCTCAAAATCTGGCTGCTGTGGTTATGGCAGATCCAGCCGAAGGGAACAAACCCCTGCCATGCCAAACCCCGGGCACCGTCCAGGCAGGAGATGCCATTCTGGTTCCCACCCACAGGCGTGTTGAGGGGCGTTTGCTGCCTGGAGTTTGCTTGTGTTACTATTCAGAGACACCCCATCCCTGGAAGTATTCAAAGACAGGTTGGACGGGACTTGAAGCAACCTGGTCTAGTGGAAGGTGTTCTGCCCACGGTTGGGGGTGGACCCAGGTGGGCTTTAAGTTCTCTTCCAACCAAAACCATCCTGGGATTCTGTGACTCCACTAGGAAGTGACTGAACCCCAAAATGGCCAGGGCCCCACCTCTGGCGCCGCCGCAGGTTTTTTTCGGGTTTAAAGCCGGTCCGAAGCAGGCCCGGGCACTGCCAGCTCCCGGCGCTGCGGCGGGGGCTCGGCCCGTGTCCCCCCGGCCGCGGACACAGCGCTCTCCCCCGCAGGTGGAGCCCCCGCCCCGCTGCTCTACGGGCCGGCGCTGGGCGGGGCCGCGCTGGCCGCGCTCGGGGCGGTGGCGATGGCGCTGCGCTGGAGGCGGCGCAGGAAGGAGGGTGAGCAGCGGGAAACACACCCGGGGCACGGGCGGCGGGAGGATCGGCCCCGGACCGAAGGGGCGGGCGGTGGGGGTCAGCCCCGGCCCGAGGGAATGGGCGGGAGGCGGGATCGGCCCCGGACCGAGGGAACGGGCGGGTAGTCAGGACGGCCCCATTGCCCCCACTCCCAGCTTGTCCCTTACAGGGAGAGAGAGGCCTGTGGGAGAGTTATTCCTGAATGTGGGAACACCTGGAAGCCAAGTCGATGCACATCTTGGATCCTTTTTTTTTTTTTCCAGATCCTCTCTATGAAGTTTCTTTGTGAGTGTAATTGCCTACCTGGCACATTAAGACTAAGGACATTGTACTGGTGTCTGCTCCCGAAAAGCCTCTCGACTCAGTGAAAACCCAGGGAGGAGGGAGGATCTGAACATCTTAGCAGTTTAGTTAGCAGCAGGAGGGCATTAACACTTGAGCACAGGAGATAGCCAGACTCTTTAACGTGGTAGAAAAACAGGATACTCTGGGTCCTTTGCTCTGCTTATCTCATGCCATAGGAAAACTGTTCTCTTTAGGAAATTTCCACTATTATTTAACAAAGCAAAGGACAAGAGTTCTCCTCTCTTCCCTAGAGATAAGTTTCCTCTGTACATGCCTTTCTCCCTAAGAAATATGTCTCAGTGCTTGCCCAAGTATTACTTTGTGCAGTTCCTATTTGCTTATGATTATATGAACCTTCTGCCCTGTCCTCATCTCAACCTTCTAACCCTTCATACCGCTTTCCTACTCAGAGGCACACCCTAGCCATCCATAGCCATTTTTCCCAGTTACTCTTGGTATTACTTTCCAAAGGCTAGAGTGTCTGCTAGTAACTTTAGAATATAACATGATAATGCCATGAGAATTTGTAGTACCAGGGTTAACTATTCAGTGCTTCTTTTTGTGTATGTAATTCTTTTAACATCACTTTCTAGTGTCTTTCAGAGCCTCACAGGGCCTCTCTAGAGTACTATGAATTTTGCTGTTCTGCATATTATGTGGTAGATCTTGTCTCTGACTAACATGTAGATGAAGTGCCTGCTGTCTGCTTTAGTCGTCCCACTCACTCGTGTCTGTCCTGTCCCAGCCACAGCACTGCAGGTGTCACGGCGCTGGAGGCTGAGGTGGAAGTCCCTGTTAAGTGTCTTCACAAGGAGACATGTAATGCTGAAGCATCCAATGATACTTTCACCGTGAAAGACAGGAAGAGTCCTGAGTATGAGAACCTTGTGACTGCAATGGAATCAGAATATGAAACAGAGGGAATTTAGCAGAGTACTAGCTCTTCTGCATGAGCAGCCATGATACCAGATAGTGAACTTAACAGGAGGAAACCCTTCCTTCTGTTTGTCTTCTACTTTGATAAATGTTTCACTGCTTGCTTTAACCCAGAGGAACTGCATAATCTTCTTGGACTTTGGGAAACGAGGCCTTGCCTGCTGGAGCAGAAACTCTCAGCTGAGCATTTGTCTACTCACTTCTACAGAGTGAGTAATTTCTGAGCAGCCTGAAGGACTGAGGTCAGGAAGAGAGGATCTGAGGGACTTGGAACTTGAACGTCTTTAGCCTGCAAATCCATGAGTAGCTGGGTGCAATGCTGGCAGCCAGTAACATCAGCAAGGGGTACTTTTCAGTGCATGTTCCTGTTAGGACATGCCAGGCTGCAAAGAACCAGGGATTGTGCTGTAAATGGACATCTTCTGGCTTTCGTAGTTCAGAAATACTGGTTTGTCCGTCCTGCTTGTCCATGAGTCTTTTTTTGTTAGAGCATAATAAAGGGACCAAAGAGGGGGAGTTGATGTCCCAGGAATGTCCCAGGAATTTTGCTATCAGACTGGAGCTCAGTGCACAGAGGGAGAGGGAATGAGTCTCCAAACTGCCACCATTGGTTTTCTCCTGGAAAACCAGAACTGATGTTGAACGAAATGGTGGCATTTAGTTTTTACAGTGTGGGGGCCAGAGGCATAACAAAATAGAAATCTGAAGCGTTTGAATAATGATTAAGGGATCTCTCTAGATTTAACAGGCTGACACTGATTTACTCTGTGGGACACAAGTCAGTCTGTGTGATTATTACTGCTGACCTATGTTACAGGGATGCTGTGGGTGCTTATGATTGTAAAATGCTGCTCCTCCCTTTAGCTGCAGCACATTCCCTACACTACGTTGTCACTTAGCAGCCTGGTTTACCTCTTCATTGTTAATCATTTGTACCTTGCCTGTACTAAGATGCTGCTGGCAGAGGTCTGTCCTCCCTGTCTGTCCCTTCATCCAGCATCCTTCTGTCCTCCAGGCTTGTCAGGGAGGGGGGATGCCACCTGTCCTTAACAAAGCAAATGTATAAGAAGAGTGACTGGCTTTTATTAAATCAGTGGATGCAGCAGGGGGAGCACAGGGAAGCAGCTGAGCTCAGGTCATGCACACCCTCCTGCTTGTTTGTGTGAGGCTGCTGCACTCCCATGAGGCAAGCAGGAGCCAGCCTGTCCCTGTTGGACCACAGCAGCACCAGGCGCCCTCCATGTACTGGTTCCTTTGCTCACGTGTGGGTGCTGCTCTCTCAGACCCACCAGCTCCCCTGCCGCAGCTGGACAGGAGGAGAGCTGAGCCCTTAGTGAGGGTAAGCAGTGTGGGGACCATTTGGAATGCATGTGGGTCTCTAGAGGATGCTTTGCCCCTGGGCTGAGGTAAGTCACCCCTCGCAGGGTGTGTTTGCTGTGGCCTCATGTACACCCCCACAAGCAGGTCCTGGAGACCCTGCGCTGGAGAAACTGCTGGCATCAGCGATTCAGGGGTGGTGTGGAACAGAGGAACGAGGGGAATGGGAAGCTACAGCCACACTCATGCAGGGCAGAAGCATGTGGTGCAAAGTGAACGCTGTGTGGAAAGGGAACTGAAACTTCCCAGCTTCCCCATGCTCACCTCAGTGTATCCAGGCCCAAAACACATGATATAGCACTCTCTCCACCCACCAAGTGCCATCCTCATTAACTTTCAATTAGCCTGGTGTTTTGTGCAAATTTTCTTGCTGTTATAAACTCTGAGCTCCGGGTTCACTCACTGACATGGTTTTTCCCACTTGTGATTCTCCCAGCACTGATCTGCCCTGAGGAGGTCTGGACACCTTCCTCAGAAGACCCAAAACCTGAGAGAAGCTGCAGAGGAAGAACGCAACAGGAGTTAAGAAAAAGGGAGCAGATGCTCCAGTTGGAGCAGTCCCCCATGTACTCCATGTTGTCACTGCCTCCAGTTTGGGCAGCAAAAGGGTTTTGGTCACAAGCAGCAGAACAGCAGAAACACAAAAATCTGTCTCCAGTGCTGAGGTGGTTGTTTTTCCCTGTGCAGCAAGAGTGTGATTATTTTTTAATTTATATTTTTTGCATGTTTGGTAGTAAAACCTGTTGGAAACAGAGCATTTTTCTTCTGGAAGTCACAGAGGATTTTGCTATATTGCATCACCATCAAATCGGAGAACTTCTCCTTCCCTTGCACTGGTCACTCACCCAGTGATGTGACTCATCTGCTGAGTCCCAGCGCTGCTCCAGCACAGAAGGAAAACCTCAGCTTCTGCTCTGAAACGACACTGCTTCCAAAGAACACACTATCTTAAGTGGCCAGCGCAGTGTCATGAGACTCAACAGTTCCCCTTGCCTCAGAGCAACTGCAGTGCCCGTCACATGGAGGCTTTTACACCTGCTGGGTTTGCCCCCTACTTCAGAGCAGGGACATGAGACATGAATTCCCAGAGAAATTTGTCCCACTCTAATTTGGTGTTTGTTCTTGTAAGAGAGGAAAAGGTTAACTTTCTTACCCCTCCCTCCAGTCATCTAGAAGGAACTAGGGGGTGGAGGGGAGAGTTACCAAAAAAGCAGAGGGACAAATTCTACAGAAAGCAAAAACTGGAAATGCACCATAAAACAAGAATGAAGGACATAAATGAACACTTGGCCACCTGTGATGCAGAGGAGGTTAGGTCTGTTGAAACCTTGAGATCTGGGAGATGGCAGGGTTGGGGCTGACAGAGTTGTCTGCTACGTTAAGGATCCACAAAGCCAAGCCTGAAATCATAGACCTTGTTCTCTTTTGAAGCTGACCTCAGTGATAAAGATCAGGGTGATGCCTGTGAGTCATGAGTAGAGTAAGTGCTGGAGAAACACCATGGGAGTGTCAGTCATAAGGAGTGGGACTGTGTCCAGAAGTGCACAAGCTATTCAAAAAGCAAAACACAATTTGCTTAGGCAATGATACAAATTCATGGGGCCCAGCTTCATATGAACTCCAGCTTCTTCAAAATATTTACTAAGAAATAGTTGAAACAAAAAGCCCAAAAAGCTTAGTATTCAAGTTTATTAGTATTCTCAAATATTGCACATTTTGCTGGTGGTACTGTGCTAAAACAAGTCAGTAGGGTCTAGGGAATTTTTATTCATTTCTGAGTTTTCCATGTCAAAGGCTTTCAGAGAGTTTGATTTGTCAAACTGGGCTGGATGCTGCCCCCACTCTGACATATCTGAAGCTGCAGATCTGATATACCACAAGCCAGTCATTAAAAATGCTTACCAATTGTGACATCTTCAAGCAGGAAGATTTAGAGGGAATTACTTTCATTAAATAGCAGAAACAGGCAACCCTGCTGCAAGGGCTGACTAGGAATGACCATCCAAAGACAGAGAGTCTTCTCCAAACAGCAAGGCTGCCGGGAGAAGCAATGGACTTCATGGTCTAATTTAAAACAGATTGAGCAAACATGCATTTTTCACTGGCTAATGGACCAGAGATAAGTTAATCAGCAGCCTCATTAGTTTGTACTCTGAATGAAAAAAAGATTCCTACATGTGCAAAGAAAAGATTTTGTATTATGGATAATACTGCCCTTACCCATGATGTTGTGATTATGGTTGCCAGAATCCTGATTAACTGACCAGGATGATTAATTAGCAGCTGGCTAGTTAATGCTGTATAGAAAAGCAGAGCATTGTCTTTGGATGCAAAGAACAAGGACCCTGGGCCCAATTCTTTGCCTTCACAGTGCAGAGGAGCTGCACCAGCAGCACTGCTGCTCAGATGTACTGTTGGGAGGGATACCCCGGTAGACACTTCCAAAACGGGTTGAAGGGAAACGTGGCAGCACAGGATCAGTCAGGTGTTCTGTAACAGTGGCACAGGCCATTCAGTACCTCGGTGGGTTTCTGAAGAGGCGCAGAGCCTGGAGAGGAAGACTCGTGCCAGAGCAGGAGGGAGGGGCTGGACCCTTGGCGTGCACCGTGTTGCTCAGCAATGCCTCACTTGGGGTATTTGACAAACTGACACTCTGCACACTGAGTGTCGGACTCAGCTTGTCAAATACACGCAGTGCCACACTGCAGCTCCCAGGGGGTCACAGTGTCTTCACTGGATGCCAAACTGGGGTCACAGAGAAAGAAAAGAAGCACAAGAAGAGCTGATGTTAACTTCAGAGGCTTTTTCCAGTTAGCAAAAAAACATCATTAACCCTCTCATATTTCCCCCTCCTATACTCTTCTTTTAGTGAGAAAGAACCACACCAGCAGACACTGCCTTCTGCTGAGGAAAATATCCACTACGTTAATTCAAAGGTCTGAAAAAGGGGTACAGATCTGTCCCTGGGCATGCACAGAGGGTTTCATCGCTGACTCTGTTGGAGGACTTCTCCATTTGGCAGAATACTGTAAGGATTTTGATGCTAAAAGAAAACCAAGGTCCACACAGGGAAACAATAAACTTCTTTGGGAGTGAGGGGAAGCTTTCTCTTCTGTTGACTAACTATGCCCCTTCTGCTTCATTTCCAGCAGACAGAAGAAGCCTCTCCTGCAATAAGTGGAGCTTTCCACCCCTATACACTGGCAGAATCCAGCCTTTAAGGGTGAACATCACATCCCACACACACCCCCCTCTTGAACAAAGACCATAGATGCTGTTGTTCCCTTGTTCTTTTAACAAGAGTGTGCAGGAAATGCAGAAATGCACTTAAAGAAAAATAAATAAAAAACATACACAAGAGTAGTGCACGGTATATACTGTGCTCTGTCCTTCTCAGATGTTGACTCTTCAGAATTTCAATCTAAGAACAGATTTTAAATTCTGATACAACTCTCTCAGAGAAAGTCATCCTGGCTCCTAAGCCACACACCCTTTCTGCACAACACTGTTTATGTTCTTCATACTCTTCATGGACATGCCCAGATGTAGCTGTTTAAGCAAGATGTTTTTAGCCTCCTTACCAGTCCCCAGATTTTAGTTTCACATGACCGGCAGCACCAGTTTGTGAGAATAGTCACACTATTTTCAGTATCAAAATAAAAACTAAAATGTTAATAATTATATTTCTGAAGGTAGATCATTAAAGACACAAAAGTAGAATTGGATTAAGTATATTAACAGCATCATACAGTGGGAAATTCATCAACCATTTCTATCTCTAGCTTCTCTGATTCTATTTTACACAGATGACCATCTAAGATCACACACAGAAACGTACCTGGAAAGGTAAAGATTTTTTTCAGGTGAAAGCAAAAAATAAAAAACAGAAACATCAAATGCATATTCTCCAAACCCAGAAGAGAGTGGAATAAGGTTTAAGAGCAAGGTAACAGCTACAGCTTTAAAGATAAAATCAGTTTCTAACCTGGGTCACTACCCAGGCTTTGCAATTCTTGCATTCCCCCTGTCTCCACCTTCACCCTGGGTGGGATGTAGATAGTGACCAGTTCTTTGTTCTGGCTCCTCCTTCCAAATGGAATTCAGCCACGATAGATAAAAGTATATTGTAACGGATAAAAGGAGGATGTGCATTTCATGAACATAAGAAAACAGTGTTAATAACCTGATTTAAAATCAGCCTACCAGAGTACAAGTGACCCTGTCATCCCCAAAAGGACTCTCAGCCATACCCAAGTGTGGGGAGGCCGCCCAAGAAAGACTGAGCAGGCTCTTCAGCAGGTATCAGTGACCTGACTAGCCTCAGCTACAGTTCTGATGTCTAATAGGGGCAGATCTGGCCTTGGAGGGGGAAGAAGAAAAGAAGACAGCACTGCTTCTGCAATTGCAGCTTAAAATAATCCCCAGTTGTGGCCTTCTGAAGGGAAAAGCAGCCACTTGAAATGCTGCTATGAGGGACAGATAAGGGCAGGGGACACAGTGGAGATAATTCTATCAGCAGATGGGAATGGAACTTGCTACTCTACCCGTAGAGATCATATCTGATCTGAATGAATTTGTCATTGTAGAGCTTCTGGTTTCAAGCTGAAGTGGGTATTTCTAAGTAAAAGCTCAGTGTTATAAACCTGAACAATCTACAGTATACTCTGAGGGGAAAACAGAAAGAGTTTTTCT